GCCCAAATATAACCCACTTGAGTTTCATAAATAGCATAGCATTTAGTAATAGAGCATTAGAACTGATAGCAGGTTCACACTCGAATCTGAAGTATCTCAATCTATGTATTAATCGGCCAGGTGGTGTTAGGAGCTTTCGTACTCGAGAAGTTGATGGCAGTGATCTATGGAGAATCGCGAAGTCATGCCATAGATTAGAATATCTAAATATCTCTAATCGCACAGAATATTCTGAAACATCAATTTGTAATGTTATTCGTTCTTACCCAAGGCTCCAGCAACTTGACCTTAGCTTTTGTCAAATTACCGATATAACTATCGAAGAAATTGCTGGTTCATGTCTTAATTTAAAGTATCTCAATTTGGAAGGGTGTAATAATATCAGCAAAGAAGCCGTAGATCAGCTCATTTCACTTAATTCAAATATCCATGTCAAGAATTTTGTGCCGATTCGGGTACCTCTCCAAAATAATGGAGCTTTAGATGTGATTCATGGACTCGCAAGGCAACTGGGAATATCACATAATGCACCAAGAGATGTTGCATCCTTAAATAATTTTATCAACGACGAATTATCAAGGAGATTGAGTGAACGCTGTATTCTAGCTAGTCGGTTATTATATCGACCCAGAGTCCTTTAAGACCAGATCATGTGAAGCATTCCAGTTCAGAAGATTTTTTTTTGCTGAGCCACAATGCATGTACTCCTGTACGACAGAAACAAGCAATGATCAACCTATTTTTTTGATTGAAAATATTTAATCAATCTACTAGCAAAATGTCAGATGACGAGATAGATACCGAAATAGAAGAAGGCTACGATGAATTTATCAAAGAATATGGATCAAGATATGAATGGAATAATGAAAGGAATCCCAATGAGTGGAGATACTGGGACGACCTTTTTTTGCACAATCAAAACCTACTGGAGGACAAAGATAGTTAGGAATTGGAAAGAGAAAGCGCTTAAGCAATTTGTACATAGTCTGCCCAATGTAAGAAATCCATCATCATTATTCCATGTATTTATACATTCCGATGCTTTCTATCTTCCACATATTTTGAGTCTGATAGAATTGCCATATTATCCGCATAAACTTCGATGGGAAATATGGACAGAAGGTATTGAGAAATTCCAATGTAGATTGTTTATTCAAGGTGAAGAATCAATAGTGGATTACTGTTTAAAGGTGAAGAAAAATAATGATATCATCAAACTCTGTAAAGGTTATTTTAGAAGTGAATTCTATAGTGGATTAACACGAGAAAATATGAGATGTATTGCAAAAAATATTTATTATCGTAAATTGGTAGAAATGCTTATTCAGGCGAAAAAAGAATCAGTGACTGGTATTATAACTGGGTTTAAAGATTATATTAGTCAGTCCGATATTGCTAATCTGAATGGGGTACAATACTTATTAAGAGGCATATATTGGATAACTAACCTGAGCAAAGGTAGTCCGGAGCAGTAATCTTAGCTCGGAAGAATTTGCTGAGCCACATTACATGCGACAAAAATATGCAGATCACTAGACAGGTCTGTGCGACATAATAATTTTTGCATATATATTCGAAAGAAAATATTAACTAACTAGTACCCTGTTTTTTTCCATACAATCATGAGAAAAATGTGAAAGAAGGTCTACATGCAATACAGGACTAACTCTAAAAGTAAATATTGACGGTAAAAGTATATGTTATGAAGGGTTGAGGGACTCACAATTTTGAGATTTACAAGAACTAACTACCTTTGCATCTCTTCAGTAGATCTACATGTGAAAAGGTATGAGAATTCCATTTGCATGTACTTTTAAGGGACTCTTAGCATCATACGACAATACTAATTACGCCTCATACCTCCTTAACTTTTTCCCAGCCAGATATAAAGCATGTAGTGGTATGTGGAAGTTCAGCCAACCTTCCCACGAAAAATGAAGGTATGTATTAAATATAATTGCTATTTATAACAAAATGTTTCGAAACATCTTTATATATGTAAAGTCAAAAATTTATTCACTATGGGCCTTCATGTTTAAGAAAAGCAAAATGCCAGAAATCAGACTTAACTGTTTTGTTGTTCCTAGTAACTGTCTAGTCGAGAAAATCACATGACATCATGTTATTACAATTAATATCGACAATAGGAAATCTATCCATTCGCTCAGAAAACAAATTAAAGAAGAACATTCACCTCAGTTTGATGATATCCCAATTACTGAATTCATGATCCGTGCGATCGATTTAAATTTAGATAAAAAAGAAGCATCAATTAATGCTGAATCAGTAATGAATAGTGTACAAAATAAGAGTAATATAGAAAGTGAGAAATTCCCAATATCTAATATTTTTGAGCATTTCCCTGGTCAGCCTTCCCAAAAAGATATTCACATTATAGTATATATAGATATTCAAGCACCTCAGTAAAAAAAATGTAATAGCGATATAGTCGCAATTTTTATGTATTGTAGGCCAGCTTCTGGCAACGTTTTTTATTCTTAAATAAAGCATATTGATATATTATGTTCTTGTCGTAAATCTTGAAAAATGTCACGTGTAGTGATGTAATATAATCGTCTGACAATCCTGTACTACATCTTAATTGCATATATATTGGGCAAATGCATTATGAATCGATACAAAAAAATCTATCATTTCTCTCCGAGCGCTGAAACCAAAATACTTTTATATCCATAAACCAGCTTTACCTGTAACAGCAGTCAAGTGCATATTTTTTCGTAAGCACAAACTCACATATATAAAAACCATGTCTTCACAAGCTTCTTTACCCGCCTCACCTGCCTCAATAATGGAAGAAATTTCCACTAAAACAATGTCAGACGTGGTTAAGGATTTTAATACAGAAGAGCTTATCGATTATTTGGGAAGGAAAGACCTGAAGCTCAAGGAATCTCACTTTAAAATTTTACGCAAGGAAGAAATCACCGATCTAGCCTTTCTCAAGTTAACTAAAGAGGACTTTCGCAGTATTGGCTTCGCGTTAGGTCTAGCAACAGTTCTCGCAGAATTCATTAAAGGTCTTGGCTAAAAAATAAGAAACTATTCCTCGCTTAAAACTCTCGATGACCTGAAGGAAATATTACGTAGAAATAAGGTCAATAGGGAGGATATAACAAACATCAAGCAGTTTACTCCTGGTATGTGATTACTCTCTTAATTTTTCAGATTGGAGTATTACATATATTAACTTATTTTTCTTTGCCTGCAGTCTTCGAGGAGATTAGTGATGATGATAAGGCATTCGAACACTGTATGGAAGACATTATATTAAAACTTTCAAATGTGGAAACCATGACCAACGCCAATGAGGTGACGCACTATGAATTTATTTCATCGATTCTCCATGCATCTATCGCTATAGCTAAAAAACTTACCTCCCAAGATATATTTATAGTTTTACAGAAAGATATATCCGGTGAGGATGCAACAGGCAGAGTAGACTACGCAATCAAAAGTCTAGAAGACCTCCTATGTATCACCGAAGGAAAGCCTCGTAATATTAAAATCGGATATGCGCAGGTAAATTTACTATCCGTTCGTGCTTTATAGAAGATTCAATAGTATTAATAGCATTTTATTTTTTTTTCAGAATCT